ACCGGATGCAACAGTCACACACTTCGTGCTCTTCGAGATCCCAGAACGCCATTCCCGGGCCACCTTTTAGAATAACCGGATGCAACAGTCACACACTTCGTGCTCTTCGAGTTCCCAGAACGCCATTCCCGGGCCACATTCTGGAGGGCCGGATGCAACAGTCACACACTTCGTGCTCTTCTTCGCTTCCCAGAACTCCATTCCCGGGGCCACATTTTTTGGATGCCCGGAGCCAACTGTAGGCCACTTCGTGCTCTTCTATTTCCCACGCCAACTCCATTCCCGGGCCACATTTTGAATGCCCGGAGCCAACTGTAGGCCACTTCGTGCTCTTCGAGTTCCCAGAACTCCATTCCCGGGCCACATTTTGAATGCCCGGAGCCAACTGTAGGCCACTTCGTGCTCTTCGAGTTCCCAGAACTCCATTCCCGGGCCACATTTTGAATGCCCGTAGCCAACTGTAGGCAACTTCGTGCTCTTCGACTTCCCAGAACTCCCATTCCTGGGCCACATTTTCAGCAGGGGCAAGAGCACGACGAGGAGGAGGACGAGCAAGACCAGGAGGACGAGGACGAGCAGGAGCAGGACGAGGAGCAGGAGGAGCAGGAGAAGAAGGACGAGCAGGAGGAGGAGGAGGACGAGCAGGAGGAGGAGGACGACCAGGAGGAGGAGGACGACCAGGAAGAGGGAAGAGGAGGAGGAGGAGGAGGAGGAGGAGGAAAGGAGGGGAGGGAGGGGGAGGAGTACCAGAAGAGGCGGAGGAGGGAGGAGAGGAGGAGGAGGAGGAGGAGGAAGAGGAGGAGGAGGAGGAGGAGGAAAGGAGGAGGAGGAGGAGGACGAGGACGAGGAGGAGGAGGAGGAGGGGGGGGAGAGTACCAGGAGGAGGGAGAACGAGGACCACCAGGAGAGGAGGAGGAGAGGAGGAGGAGAGGACGGAGGAGGAGGAGGAAGGGGAGGAGGACGAGGAGGACGAGACGAGGACGGAGGGAGGAGGAGGACTACCAGAGAGGAGGAGGAACACCGAGGGAGGAGGGGGGGGGAGAGCACCAGGAGGAGGAGAACGAGGACCACCAGGAGGAGGAGGAGGAGGAGGAGGAGGAGGAGGAGGAGGAGGAGGAGGAGGAGGAGGAGAGAGCACCAGGAGGAGGAGGACGAGCAAGACGAGGAGGACGAGAACGAGGACGAGCAGGAGGAAGAGGAGGAGGAGGAGGAGGAGGAGGAGGAGGAGCAGGAGAAAGAGCAGGAGGAGGAGGAGGCAGGCTGAGGCTGAGGCTGTGACTGCGACTGCCGTTGCCGCTGCGACTGTCATCGCGAATGCTACTACGACTGCGAGAACAGCAGAATTCGACAACTGGATTTTCGTCTGAATCTTAAGGGGAATGCTTTCAGATATGCTTCTACACATCGCTGTTAGGTTGCTTTGCCGGGATAATTTGTTACTAATCGTCATTCCGCATTAATGGCCTTCGGCCCATTCCGCCACCGTGCCTGGGTTGTGGGTATGGAGCATCTTGGATGTTCGTCGGGATCTCGTGGGAGGCCCCTCGGGGGCCTCCTGGAGGCAGTTTTGAGGCCTCTGGGGGGCAGTTTGGGAGCACCCTGGGGCCTCTTTTGGGCCTCTTGGGGACTCCTGGGGGCCTCTTGGGGCGGAAGGCTAGGATTTTCGGTTCGTGTTCCCTCTCTCTTGGGCACCTGCTGGGGCCGTCTTGGGGTTCTCTTGGGCCGTCTTTGGCGCCTCTTGGGCCGTTTTGGGATGCTCTTAGGCCGTCTTGTACCCTTTTGGACGCCTTTTGGGCCTCTTAGGCCGTCCTGGAGCGTCGGAAAACAGAAAAGGCTAGAACTCAACATTCCCCCAAGAACCTTCGGGAAATCAACGATTTGTGCCTCTTGGGACCCTCGGGAGGCCTCTTGGAGGCTTATTGGGCGTCTTGAAGGCCTCCTTGTGTCATCTTGAGGCCATCTTGGGCGTCTTGGAGCGACCTTTCGGCGACTCGCGGCCCTCTTCGACTGTGTTGCGGGCCGCGTGCGGCCCCCTTGGCCCGTCTACGGGCCCTTTTTGGCCCGAACAGTTTATGCGACAAGATGCGCTGGGACCAGGGGGGCACGCGGAAAGCTCCAAGAGATTTCGGAAATTGAGGTCCGGGCCTTTGAAAGATTCTTCAGGAGTGCTTAAGAGATTCGACAATGGACCTGAGGACACGCCCACTCCGTGCCCAGCGCCACGGTGGCGGATATACCTGTTTTCATGTTTTTGTCATTCAGCTGTTGCCTTCTTCTTCCTCGCCCTGTCCATCCTTCTCGCCTCGTCTTCCGATGTCTTCCTCATCCTTATACAGCGACAGCCGCATCTAGGCCAATTACACGTGGCAGGGAAGGAATATTTGCCCCCCAAAAGGGGCACGATCAAAGACGGAGAGGGCGGGTATCGAGGGCTTTGCAGATACATGTTGGATGACACGCGAGCGCATGAGAGCGAACAGTCTTCAAACCATTGTTGTTGTTGTTGTTGGTGAGGATGAGCGCGGGGCCCCTGGACCCCCCATAAGGCCAAACTTTGATTATATTTGACAATGCGGTGTCCTTCTCTTCTTCTTTCTCTTGCTGTATTGCTGAAGTTGTTCATTTCTCCTCGTGATGCTCATGTTCTTGCGTTCTTTCTTGGCGGCCTCAGATAACCATGCTCATGATCGAGGCGTCCTTACAAAAGAAACTCTTTGCGGTGGCCTTACACTAGGATTCGCTTTGCTGCGGCCTTGCACTAGCGTTCCTTCTTTGGCGGCCTTACGCTAGGATTCCCTCTGTGGCGGCCTTACAATCGGATTTCCTTTGTTGCGGCCTGACAAAAGGATTCCCTCTGTGGCCCTCCCTGGTAGCAACCCACGGGCCAGAATAAGAATGAAGCAGAGCATTGAAATCATTCAACGTTGTGAAACATGTTACGCCATTCAATGTGTTTCAGCGGTCTGTGCCAAAGCACTGTAAACAAAAAACAAGCACACACTCCATCTCCTGGGAGCAGCCATATAACAAAGTCCTTGCATGTTGATACGCCGCGCATCCAAACCAGCGTGTGTGTTATATGATTCTGGCACTTCAAAGCTCAAACATGTGTTGTTGGTGTTATGTTTATATCGCTGGCTATTACACCGAAGAGAGCTTCGTGTGCTGTCATATGTTCCTAGGTCTCAGAGGGTTACACCTGCTGTGTTTCTAGATTGTTTGGAGTCCAATTAGTTGTAACATGCGGCTCCCCGGGACCATGCTGTGTGTCTTTGGTGTTTAAACCCGAAGCGTTGACAACACTCGAACGTCTGCACATGTTCCATGATCTCAATATTTTGGTGGTTTCTTTGGGTGTTGTTTTTTGGCCTCTGGGCTACTACCAGGGAAGGCCACACAGAGAATCCTTTTTGCAAGGCTTTCACAAAACATCATTTGCAAGGCCTGCCGCGAGAAAGAAATCTTGTGTAAAGCCGCCACACGAGGATTTTTGTTTTAAGGTCGCCGCTGGAGGGAATTCTTTTGTAAGGTCGCCACGTCAGGAATTCTTTTGCAAGGCCGCCACAGGGGCAATCCGATTGTAAAGCCACCGTAAACAATGGTACCCTTTTTGTACGGGCGCCACGCAATTAATTCTTTGCAAGGCCGCCACAAGAGGAGTCCTTCCGCAGCGTCGCCGCAACATTCAAACTTTTCAAAGGCCACACGGGGCCGCAGACGGATGCAGACGGAATCATATTAGAACCCGCAGCAAAAAAGAAACGGCTCGTAAGCTGCAGCAACAGCTATTTGTGTGTGTGATCCGCCACGAAGAAAACCAATTGTCACCCGTCACCAAACGAATCAGTTTGTAATCCGCCACGGAAATAATCGATTTGACCCCGTCACAACAGAATACCTAATTTTAATCTGCCGCAGCACAAATCAATTTGTTACCCGCCACAAGAGGAATCCATGGGCAATTCTTTGCACAAGGAGTCATCATGCAATCCGCCGCTGCGTGAATCACATTGCAAGGTCACCACAAAAGGAAACCATGTGCGACCCGCTAGAAATGGATCAATGTGTGTAATCCCCGAGGGAAGTAAAAAAGCGAAGAGCGAGGAAGGGAGGAGGAGAAGGGGTACGTTGCGAGGGGCTCCGGGTTTCTGGAAAGCAGAGTCTGAAGAGCATGCGGGAGGAGCGAGGAGGACGTCGCGAAAAAATATCCTGGCGAAGGACCCAACCATAGGCAATTCTGAGTACTTACCGCGGTTGTGAGTATCATCCTCGTCAAAGTTCCCAGATGGGGCCACAAAGCGTGCGAGGGGTGTGCAGAAAGTGGTGCGGCGGTACTCTGCGAGCGGTGTCACTGGAGGCTTCGGTGGAGCGCCCTAGGGGGCTACGAAGCGTGTGAGGGGTGAAACGGGTGCGGCGTTGCCATGCGGGCGCTGCCATTGGGGCCTCAGGTGGAGCGCCCCAATGGGCCACGAAACGTCTGACGGGTGTGCCGACGTTTTTCGCATGCGGAGGACAGGGGCAGAGAGAGAGAGAGGAGGGGGGGAGGAGGAGGAAGGAGGAGGAGGGAGGAGGAGGGAGGAGGTCGTTGGGGCGCTGTCTCTTCAAAACGAGATCCCAGCACCACAGGATGGTTGGGAAAAACATGACGTCGGCTGCTTGGGCGGCCTGGTGCCCTCATCCATCGTTCCTATTTGTCCTCTTTCCCAACCCCCTTCTTCTATTTCTGCTCCTCATCCTCCTCTCTCCTCCTCCCTCCTTCCTTCTGATCCTCCTCGCTCTTGCATCATCCATCCTTCATCCTCACCCCCATACCCCCCCTTCCGTTCGGGCTCTCCCACCCCGTCCGCTCTCCCCCCTCCTGCCGGCTGCTGTCCTGCCATTCACCCTGTCCCGTCGCGAGTACCCCCCCCCGAGCGGCGCCCAACCCGCGCCGACACCGACACCAAGGACTTGCTTTTCCTCCTCCTCCCCCTCTCCTCCTAACTTTGTAACATGTCTCGCACTGCACGAATCCAGACGCCTCAGATCCTGGAGGCCATGGCCTCACCCACCTGGTCTGCTCCAGGCCCCGACGCTGTCCGCAACGGTGGTCGCACCGCACCCCGAGCGGCGCCCGCTCGGATCCGCCCGCGCCCCCGCGCCAGGTGTGGCGGGAGGCCGTCACGGAGGTGCTCTTCTCGAGGCTGGGCGTCACGCCGGAGCAGCAGCAGGAGAGCACCCGCGGCCGAGCCCCGGGGTCGTTTGCCGGAGGGGCGCGCCGTGGGTGGGCGGCGGCGCAGCAATTGGAGGGGCGAGGGCACGCGCTCCATGCAGGGTCCGGCCTGCATGTTTGTTTTGGCCTGCGGGCTCGCGGAGCAGGTCGAAAGCCGTCCGAACACCAGCCGGGCCGCGACTGGGCAGCCAGGAAAGAGAGGCAAGCAAAGTGAGCGCGCGGGCAGCCACTCAGAAAAAGAAGAAGAAGAAGAGCCAGAGACAACACTCCCAACTCGGTGGCGTGGAGACCCCGGTGGCGACCATCAAGTAGGCGCAGCCAAAATGGCGCGGCGGTGCGACCATGAACACGCAGAGGTCGATCACTCGGTGGGCCCGGCTTGCATAAGGAGCGTTTTACTTCTCAAGAGGGGCTCGGTCGTTCCTTTGGTTTGCATGCGTTCTTCCGCTCCCTTTTTGGCGGCGAGCCCTCCTGGTGTTCCCTCGGACTTCGTAGACTCACTTGGAAACAAAAGGCGCCTCTTTTCTCATGTATCGTTCCCTAGGGCCTGAGGCACGATAAAGCCTGGCCTGAGGCTTAGGCCAGGCCTGGCCTAACAGGCCTAAGGGGGTCCCTTACAGTATTCGACCTGGCCTGAGGCTCAGGCCAGGTCGAACACTGTATCGCGTGTCGGTCTGGCCCGCCCGGGAGCGCCCCCCGTGAAGGGATCACTGCGCCGCCGAGCCCGGGGCGCCCGCCGCCGCAGACTCGTGGCCTCGTCCGCGGCGCGGGCCGCCGCAGACTCTCGGCCCCGCCCTCCCGGGGACTGCCTCCTTGCTCGCCGCACGCCACGCGGGATGGGCCCCTTGGGGCCGAGGCGAGCCCTGCGGCTCGCGAAACAGCGTCGTAAACATGGAATGCCGGCGCTCCGCGCGGGGAGCTCTTGGATCTGCGCTGGGCCCCCCCCCCCGGGTGGCGCCTCCGCCCCTGGCGCGCGGCCTGGCGCAGATCCCCAAAATCCGCGCGGAGCGCCAACAGTTTAGGCTTTGGCAGATTTGTCTTCTTCTATTGGTGGCCCTCCTCCTCCTCCTCCTCCTCCTCCTCCTCCTCCTCCTCCTCCTCCTCCTCCTCCTCCCCCTCATCATCATCATCATCATCATCATCATCATCATCATCATCATCATCATCATCATCATCATCATCATCATCATCATCATCATCAGCATCAGCATCATCATCATCATCATCATCATCATCATCATCATCATCATCATCATCATCATCATCATCATCATCATCATCATCATCATCATCATCATATCATCATCATCATCATCCCCCCCTCCTCCTCCTCCTCCTCCTCCTCCTCCTCCTCCTCCTCCTCCTCCTCCTCCTCCTCCCAGCTCTGAGATGCCGGCCATCGCCGCGTGCTGCTGCTCGCCCATCGGCTTCGAGCTGCCTGCGCACGTGTTGGGCCTCGGCGCATCGAGGGGCTCCGGTCTGGCCAGACAACGCGCGCACAGGCGCGGAACCGGACCTGTTTCGTGCATGCTGGGCCTGCGCCTTGTGTTATGATGCTCCAACCTACTCTAGCCTTGACCACCAGGAAGAATTTCGAGCGCCCCAAAAAGTGCAGAAGTTCGAGGGTTTTCACACGTCGGGCCTTGGGAGACGCTCGTCCGACACTGTTTCGACACTCTTTCGACACTTTTCCGGGTGCTCGAAATTATTTCTGGGATGCGGTCCTTAAGTAGGATGAGAACAAGCCTTGTGCAGGGTTTACCTTGCAGCTCGGCATCGTCTCCCTCAGTTGCGAAGCGTCCTGGCTCGCCTTCTAAGAACCTTTCGTGGTCTGCACGAAATGCTCTCCGAACATTTCTGGCCGGGACTGTCCCGTTTGAACACGTCGGAGTCACGTTCTAAGAATATTGTTTTTGTTATTAGAACATCTTTGGGTTCTAAGAACATGTCGTGGTAGGCCTATAGGAATGCCGGGACGGTCGGCCCCTGCTCAATGTTTGTTTGTTCTCACCAGTGGTTTTCGCCCAGTGGACAGACGCCCGTGTGGCCCAGGGGAGGGGGGAAAAATGAGGTGGAGAGGGGTTTGGAGACGACGAGGACCGACTTCTGCCCCCCGACTCGTGCTGCAACTGCCAGGGGCCAGGGCCGGTGGCCTGGAAGACCCCCCCCCAGCTCTTCCTCTCCCAGGGAGCTATGATTATGTCGGCCTGTCCCTCTACAGGGGGAATGTTCAAAAATAGTACAAAAAAACGGTCTGGTGATTATGTTTGTAGTATTTTGGGGCATTTGGGGGGTATTGTTGGAGTATGTTTTGTTTTTCGTCCAAGATCCTCTTGCAGGGGGGCACGCCCGTCCTAGGCTATGAGGATCCTCCAGGGCTCGGGCGGTCCCTTCTCGCTCGCTTCGCCCGCCCTTGCCTCTGCTCCCCGCTTGTATCTTGTTTCCTTCGCCAGTGGTGGACCTGAAGTCGGGCCTGTCCCTCTACAGGAGGAATATCCCCAAATAGTAAAAACATAGCCTGGGGACGATTTGTCGATTATTGTTTGACCACTTTTTAGAGTATGGCTGAATATTTTCTACTTCTCCTCCAGAATCTGCCTGTAGGGGGACATGCCCGACCTAAGGTTAACGCCCATTGGTCCGCTGGCCAGCAGGGCGACTCGCCGAGTGCCGCGGCAGCGCGAGCGCCACCGCTGGCGGGCACCTTGGCTTGGCCCCCCCCCCAAAGGGCGACCTCCCCTGCTGGGAGGGCGCGGCACCTCCGGTCATCGGACTGGATGCCGTCAGCGTCCAGGGGGAGGAGGAGCAGCAGCAGCAGCAGCAGGAGGAAAGGGAGGAGGAGGAGGAGGAGGAGGAGAAGGAAGAATGAGCGCGCAGAAGGAGGAGAAGGAGGAATAGGAGGAGGAGGAGGAGGAGGAGGAGGAGGAGGAGGAGGAGGAGGAGGGAGGAGGAGGAGGAGGACGGAGGAGGAGGAGGAGGAGGAGGCGGAGGAGGAGAAGCGAGGGTGCCGACCGAAGGAGGACCAGGGCAAACCCGACACGCACACCACCGATGCTGCAGCACACCCCTTACGCCGCCCCAGGTCCACGCTCCTCCCACACTGATGCAGAGTCTAAACGGTTCGCGCAAGCCCACCAGCCCTCCTCCCCCCCCTCCTCCTCCTCCTCCTCCTCCTCCTCCTCCTCCTCCTCCTCCTCCTCCTCCTCCTCCTCCTCCTCCTCCTCCTCCTCCTCCTCCTCCTCCTCCTCCTCCTCCTCCTCCTCCTCCTCCTCCTCCTCCTCCTCCTCCTCCTCCTCCTCCTCCTCCTCCTCCTCCTCCTCTCCTCCTCCTCCCCTCCCCCTCCTCCTCCCATCAGCGATCAGTCGTTGCCCTGATCAGGGATGTGGAGGAGCATGCAGCGGAATGGAATGAAGGGTAGGGTAAGAGGTCATACCCCACACGGTGGGGCCGTGCGTTCAAGAAGGCGCACAGGAGTCATCAGGCCCTGGAGGATTCCTTAACCGATGAGGGTGACGGCGATGTCCATGGCCAAACATCAATTGGTGTTCCGCTGGCTTCCAGACCATGGGTTCCTTATCGAAGGGTTCCTTATCCAATGCCCCCACCGTGATGGAAATGATGGAGGAGGAGGAAGAGGAGGAGGAGGAGCAGGAGGAGGAGGAGGAGAAGGAGGAAAGGGAGGAGGAGGAGGAGGAGGAGGAGGAGGAGGAGGAATCGGAATCGCAACAGACGCTAAGCGTCACAAACTACATAAGCTACGACTTGGGATTCACCCCCTGGTCAACCTGTCAAGGTGTTCGCGCCTCTTGGGCGCCATGTGAACCTCAACACAGGAGGAGGAGGAGGAGGAGGAGGAGGAGGAGGAGGAGGAGGAGGAGCGGAGGGGGAGGGGGAGGAGGGAGAAGGACGGAGTATGATGATGCTGATGATGATGTTGATGATGATGATGCTGATGATGATGATGATGAGGAGGAGGAGGAGGAGGAGGAGGAGGAGAGGAGGAGGAGGAGGAGGAGGACGACGACGAGGAGGAGGAGGAGGCGGAGGGGAATAAGAGAAGAAAGGAATAGGAATAGGAATAGCTACATGACGGTGTCATATCAAGCAGGATGGGCACGCGCTGCCAAATCAGCAGCACTCCGCACCTTGGGCACAAGACCTCTCCTGATACGATCCAGGTACTCTCTCCTGGTCGGGTTCAGGGGCTTGTGACACGACTCTTTGAGATCGCTCCGAAGGTTATGGGAACAAAAGAAACCGCACTTCCCGCAGAACCAGAGCCCCAGAGTGTGATGATAAGTTAATTCGTGCGATTCGTGCGCCCACCCCCCAGCTAGGTGCAGCCTGACCCCGTTAGGCTTATGTGAGACGACGGAATCGACAGTGATTAAATCGAAGGAAGGCATGCTTAGCCACTCTTTAACAGTAGGTCGAGTGGCACTACTATGACAACGGGTGAATTTAAGCCCACACTCACTTAGGGAATGGGACGTACTAAAACGTGCTGCTACTAAAGGGTTGAGAGGAGGAGGCGGGGGAGGCGGAGGGACGGGTGCCTCAGCATCACCTCGTGCGACAGCACTTCGGGCTTCACGCTCGGCGGCTTTTTCGGCGGCAGCTGCATCAAGGGTGGCTCGCAAGAGCCTCCTCCGAACAAGTCCAACCTTGCGTTCACAATCAAATATGCGTGCACGAACTGATGAGGCGATCCTATGCCTCTCCGCTGCGCCATCTGCCAGCGCATCAGCAACAGCATTTCCAATTAACATCCAGTTGCCCACATGCTTCTAGGCCGCATCTTCTGCTGAGAGGTGCGAGGTGATCTGCAGGACGACGAACTCCGACGGATCAGGCTCTTGAAAGTGCTGGCCAACTTCACTCCATAAAGTGCTCAACTCTCCTGACAATTTCCGATACTGCTTGTCATACCAACCTCTGCAGACGGACTCGTTGTCGGTCACGAAGATGGTCGGTCCCTTCGAACCTCGGGCTGCCCACTCCA